TTTTTTCATTTACACTTGGATAAATTTAAGGATTTTAAATGATTTTTGCCACCTTTTTCATTAGTTTGAACTCCTTTGAATTTGAAAATGCAGCCTAATTGAAGTAAATTTTGCAAAATACTTTTTGAGGTGGAACATTTTTAGAATTCAAATTAGAAAATTCTGTTGAAAATATAAAATAACAAATTCAAATAAATCTTCATCGCCTTAATATACACGAATAAAAAAATATTTCGCTACACTCCAATTGAAGTGCGCCATTTTGAAAGCTCCATGACAACAGAAAACTCTTATAAAATGTTACAACAAAATGATTATCATGAGAGAGGGTAAGTGTGCGCATCCCGACATCCCTTTTCTCCATTTCTCTACGCTGCTATTATAAATTAGAATATGTTTTGTTCAAAATATTTATCTACTCATCATGAAAGGCAGGCAACGCGGGTCGAGAAAACATTCAGCTGTCTTCAAAATTTATCATATAATTTTCAGTGTATTTATTTATTGCCATAAATATTTACCGAAAAAATTGGAAATGGAAAATTGTGCTTTAATACTTTGTTCCGTTCCTTGCCTTTTGCTGTCGTTTTTACAGTCGAGATGTTTAGGATGGATAATAAAACAAAGTTTAATTAACCGTAGCAGGACTTAGTTGTTATTTCGACATTTATTACGAGAATGGTTCGATGTGATTGTGAAGAAAGGGGTAGAGTTCCATTTTTATGGAAACATTTGATGGATTTGATGCTTTTGGTACTCAATTATTTGTTGAATGTTAAAAGATATTTAATATTTAAATTTTTAACGAACTTTATTGATTTGAATTTTCAAATTTTCCGTTAAGTTTAAATTGGAAATTTGCGTTATAAAACATTTCTGGTATCGCAGATTTTCTCGAGAACAAAAAGTAATTTAATATTCTGCAGCTTACTCTTACAAAGTTATTTAAAATATTTGTAAAACATAAATCACATCACATCGCTACTGTATTCCGTAAAAAAATAAAAACAAAGAATTTATGAATGTTAAACAATTTTGCAACATTTCGACTTTGATGTTCCTTACAAAAACTTTTAAGATCAAATTGCAAGAGAGCGATCATCTTGTGGCATTTGTACAAACATTTGCATATTTCATGAGCTCAAATGCACAACATAATGTTATGACTTAATTGATGTGATGAAGTGTAAAATTGCAAATAATTTATTTTATTTTTCAAGAATGAACAAAAAAAATTTAATTAGCATCGATGAACATCGACAATATTAAATTATTCCAAACTTTTCTCTCCGTTTTGCAAGAAATGGCATTAAAGTGAATTTGTGATGGATAATAAAATATTTTATATGTCACGACAAAAGGAGGAAATCATCAAAGATCTTACAAAATGCAAATATTTCTTACTGCAGGTCACACAGAAGAGAGAAGAAACTTTTTACGATTATTATTTGTTTGAACGAAATGATTGTCATCGAAATATTATCCATGACCAGACAATTTGTTTATGAAAAATTGTACTCACGCGAGGTATTTCATTTCATGTTTGGATATAAATTTACGCGTTGCAAAAGAGTTTTTAAAGCATGTGACAAATTGTAAAAATACTCTTCTTCGCTTTAACTTTCTTTATTGTTTCTTCTAATTCAGCATTTAGCGCTTTTTGTTGCACAACGAATGAATGAAAATCAATATGAAATTAAATTTTGAATTTTAAAATTATTGAAGGTTTTTCTCTGTCATATTTTGAAACTTGATACAGAGAATCTTATTTTGTAAATACTTGTGAATATAATTGTTACTGTACAAGCTAGTTTGCATGTAATAAATAACTGATTTAGTTTTTAATCGATTATTTTGAATTTTAGTTTGATTTTTTCTCACCTCAAATTTTGTTTTTGATTTTAATTTGAATTGGTAGCAACACAGACGTAGAAAGAATGGATATTGCGTAGAAAACAGTGGCAAGATACAAACAAAATCAACATAATGATAAGAAATTCATTCGAAATATGAAATTATTTAAAAAAAGAACTTAGTATCTTGACTTAAAATAAATTATCTCTTTACTTCAACTTCATAAATTCAATTGCCAATCCACAGAAATCATGTAAACCTTCAAAATATAAATTAACCTTGCACAAAACCAACTGTTCCCGAGAAGAGTAGAAAACCTTAATTAAAATACATTCATCACTTGTGAATAAACGCCGCATCATAATAAACGGAAAGCACATGTAGTGTAAAATTAAATAAAATATTGAAGTTCAATTAAAAGTTGCAAACTAGACAATTTTCTTTATGCTTACAACAGCACTTTTGTTTATTATACTTTTTTTTGTCATAACATCATAAAGAGTCAATGAATCTTTTTTTACCATGCTGATGACTATATAAAACAATAAAGGCATGGAAATGAAAGACTTTGATGACAATGCAGTGTAAGTAAATTTATTGTAGAGACAATTAACGCATGTATAGAGAATATTCATTGAATGGATATGAAATGAAAGAAAAATTGCTTAATCTTTAGTTTTTCATCTTGTTAATAAAGCACTTAAATTAAAACGGGGCAAATGAGGAAGAAATAAAAGTGATTTTAATGAATCCCATCGAGTCTAATGGTTGTTATTGATTTTTCTCCTCACTCTATATGCATTGAATTGCAATGAGTTTCTGCTCATTTTACTCTTATTCAATGAATAACATTGTTAGTGTCGCTCATTCAGGATGAAAAATTATGAATAACAAGCTACCGACGGAACATCAAAAGGACACAAAGTTGTTGATGGGTGTCCTTACAGAAACAAAATTTGTAAAAACAACAAACCCGTACAAAAATCAAAGATTTCTCAGCTATGCGATCAAGGATATCCGAATAGTATTAAATGCCTCATTGGATTCTGATTTCTTGCACGTGTTTTACGCTCTCGTTATTTTTACATCATCCTGTTTTTCTATTTCGCACACAGTTGTTGCTCTCTGCTGGCATTTAATAACCAACTGTGAAATCTTTTAGTTTTATTAAGGATAATTGAGATTGAGTTCTTATTCCGAACAATTAATTAATGTGATATGATAATATTTTTTGAGAGATCATTAATAATTGACGCTTTTGGATAACTTAAGATTTTAAGACAATATAAGAAATGAAAATTAAAAATTTAACGGATTTTTTACATTTAAATTCAAACTCATTTAAATATGGTCATTAATTCAAAAAGTGGCAGTTAATTTTATTAAAATTTCACTCTCGAATTTCAAAAAATATTGAAATAAAATCACATTTAAATATCCAGCATCTCAATCAATTATTTGTTTTACAGAATTGAAGAATCAAAAACTTTCATCAAGGTATCAGGAAGGGGGTGTCATATTTACCTTCAAAATTCTCTAAATGTGTTGAACCTTCAAGCAAATTTGTGGATTAATCCTTATTTTTAAAATTTCCTTAAAATTCACACTTTTCCCGTTCCAAAACTAAATTTTCATTAGAACGGATTTCCTTGTATTTCTTTCTATTGTTTGTTTCAATTATCACTTAAAATTAAAACCAATTAACAGTCAATAATTAATTCACTATTTGTCTAATCACTTAACATGACAAAATGTACATTTGTCATTGCCTGATATTTTCTTTTGTGCCTTTTTTTTTCTCTGTTTTAAAAAAAAGTCTTCACAATCCGTCCAAGAGATTAACGAACATACTATTTCTGTTTGTGTCCAACGCGACTTAAATATTCAACTGCTTTAAGGGAACTAAGGAGAAAAAAAATTATTCTTTAATGTCATCCGTTGTTCGCTCGCGACAAAAGAGAAAGAAACAAAATTTGTTTATGAAAAATTATGAAAAGCAAGAAGCAGCAAACGCACAGCAGAAACTGTCATAAGCGATAGATGATTTGTAAATGTATGCATGCATGGACCAAAAAATAAAGAACCCAGCTTTTTTTTCTGTAACATTAATTTGAATATTTCAATATGCGCAATATGCGATGTTCCGATACAACTGAACAGATTGGTAAATAACACTTTACACAATCAACCAATCAGCGCTCGATTATAATGGGGGACATGATGTGAATTTGTATTCAGCACGTTATCATTTTAAATTTTCATGTTCTTTGCTCTTTGCCGTGATTTTAATTTATTCTTGGATATTTAAAATCACAGCACTGTGCTGAAGTAAGAATTTAAGAAACGCCCATCAATAATAGAAATTATAAGGGTGAAAAAAATGTCAAGAACATCAGAACAGTTTAGTTGAATTATGGATATGAACAAAGTAAAATGTGTTCGTCTGAGTTCAAAATTGAATTTTATTTTTTAATCATTTATTTTCATTTTAATTGTTTGATGTTTTGTTCTTGTTTCTTTTACTTTGTTTTATTATAGAAATAAAAATTTCAATATAATTTAATTCATTTCAAAATAATCGTTAAGTTTCAAAAAATATTCAACAGTCAAAAAAAATTTGAACTTTTCGTTAAATCTTCTTCGTTTGTATGTGTGCGTGGTTTTAAACACTTTTTCCAAAAACAAACCAATAACCACTTTGACATGCAGGCTGTCACTTGATATTGACATGTACCACAATCAAGGACGCAATTTCATTCTTTAAATGTCAATTTAATTGAAAAATTGAGTCTCATACTTGCTGTTGAAAGGTTTTATAAAAACCATTGTAAGGTTTAAAGAACTCGAAACCTTTGTAGGGTTTCAAAACTTTAAATTTTTGAAGCTCGTTATGTTTTTAAATTTAAAAATAAACTAATTCACACAGTACCATTGTTTTAATCTAATATTGCAAAAGCCTTGTTTATGTATTTATTAATCTAGCAAAAAGCGCCTATATCATCCATTGTAATCCGTTCTTTTCTATACTAGTTTATATATTTGTGAAGTATAGAACGAAAAATTTCCCAACATATTTTAAAATCATATTATTAAACGAAAAATCTAGTTAAAGTATAAACAAAAACAATGTGAAAGTTATAAGGAATGAAGCATTTTAGTTAAACAATTAAAAGAATTAGTATCCGGTTCAGTTTCAATAAAAAATTTAAATAAGTTTTATAAGACGAAGAAAAAAACTTCTAAAATGTCATTAAACTTAAATATGAAGCAAGTAAAAGGCAATTTGCAGCGTCTATTTGATAAGAATTTGACTGATTTGGTCAGAGGACTTAGGAATAATAAAGATAATGAGGTAAAATTGTCTATTTTCCAAACTGGATCTGAAATTTTTTCATACTTTTTTTCGCATATCCACATCAGCAATTCTTTCTAACATTTCCTTCTTCTTTCACTTTCTTCTTAGGCAAATTACATTGCTCAATGCATTGAAGAGATCAAACAGGAACTGCGAATCGACAATATTAGCGTTAAATGCAATGCAGTTGCGAAATTAACTTATGTGAGTATAATTAAATTATTCTGCTTTGACTGATAACACAAATATGTGAAAGGAACATTGTTGATAAGACTTGTAAGCCCATGACTGAATCAAAAAATTTATTTATTTACAGCTTCAAATGTGTGGCTATGATATATCATGGGCTGGATTCAATATTATCGAAGTTATGAGCTCCAATAAATTTACATGCAAGCGCGTTGGATATCTTGCAGCCAGTCAAAGCTTCCATCCAGGCACGGATTTGTTGATGTTAACGACAAATATGATTCGAAAGGATTTAAGTTCAACTAATCAATATGATGCTGGGGTAAGTAGACAGTGCCTTGATGTCTATTTTTAAACATTATTTTTTTATTGATTATCCATGACTGCTTAAATAGGTTGCGCTGAGTGGTTTAAGTTGCTTCATATCTCCTGATCTTTCGCGTGATTTAGCCAATGACATTATGACATTAATGAGGTAAATTCGAAACAATAAGGAAGATGATTAATGACTTATTAATTATATGACATTTATATCCATTTTAGTTCCACAAAACCTTACTTGCGAATGAAAGCCGTCCTAATGATGTATAAAGTCTTTTTGAATTATCCAGAAGCACTTCGACCTGCATTTCCAAAATTAAAAGAGAAATTAGAAGATCCTGATCCAGGTGTTCAATCTGCTGCTGTTAACGTTATCTGTGAATTGGCGAGGAAGAATCCTAAAAATTATCTCTCATTAGCGCCAATCTTCTTTAAACTCATGACAACATCGACCAATAATTGGATGCTCATTAAAATAATTAAATTGGTGAGTAGATTTAATTAGCACTAATTAATTATGTTTGATGACTTTTTACTCCATAAAATAATTTATACACAAAAAAATATGTACAAAGTTTGGAAGTATGGTAAGGTTTTATGGTCCATCATTGAGCATTAGTTTGACGAGACCGTTAATCGAAATAATTTCAAGGTTTTTCTAACACTCAATTCTTACTTTTATTATGTACATACAATTTTGTGGATCGTTCATTTATGCTGCCTATCGAAAATAACTTGCAACAGATTTAACGAATTTAAAATATTTGAAATTTACATATTTTTCAAATATTTTTTAACCGTTATTTCTTGAATTTATTTTATCCGACAAGCTATTCAAGTCAGCCAGTATAAATGAACGATTCACAATTGAATATTCGCTTTAATTGGTCGCTAATTATCAAAATGCTAATGTCGTTTATGCTATTTTATTTATTATATTCATGTAGTTTGGCGCTTTAACTCCCATAGAACCTCGTTTAGGAAAGAAGCTGATTGAACCGCTTACGAATTTAATTCATAGGCAAGTTTTATTGCAAAATATTCCTTTATGCTTAATTGTTTCGTGTCAATATCATGGCAATTAATAATAAATGTTTATTTCCATTTCCACAGCACATCTGCAATGAGTTTACTCTATGAATGCATCAATACAGTTATAGCTGTTCTTATAAGCATAAGCAGTGGAATGCCTAATCATACAGCATCAATTCAACTATGTGTGCAAAAATTAAGGATTCTCATAGAGGATTCCGATCAAAATTTAAAATATCTCGGGCTATTGGCAATGTCGAAAATATTAAAAACACATCCGAAGAGTGTTCAGGCACATAAGGATTTAATACTTGCATGTCTTGATGACAAAGACGAATCAATTAGATTGAGAGCTTTAGATTTACTTTATGGAATGGTTTCAAAGAAGAATCTTATGGAGATAGTTAATAAGCTTTTAGGACATATGGAGAGAGCAGAAGGAAGTGTCTACAGAGATGAATTATTACTGAAAGTAATTGAGATTTGTTCACAGGAATCATATCAACATGTTACAAATTTTGAATGGTATTTGACTGTCCTTGTTGAACTGATACAATTAGAAGCTGGATCAAAGCATGGAAGTGTTATTGCTGATCAATTGTTAGATGTTACAATTCGTGTTGAAAGTGTTCGTAAATTCTCCGTTAATGAGATGATAAATTTAATTAATTCGTTTCCATCATCGTCGCAAACGAGTACAATGTATGAAGTATTATATGCCGCTTCATGGATAGTCGGTGAATTTGCTAATCAATTAGATAATCCAGAAGATGCTTTAAAACTTTTCCTACAAGAACGCTCCATTCCGGGCCACATTCAAGCTGTTTTTGTCCAAAATTCTATTAAAGTACTGACCAATATCATTGAACGAGCTTGCGAATCAGGAGATTTGAAATCAATTGAATGTGCTACTGAGATAATGGAACAAAAGTTGCAATATTTTATAAGTTCAGGTGATATTGAAGTACAGGAACGAGCATCAGCAACACGTGAAATTATTTTAGCATTAAGTGAAGCTCTTAATGGTGAATATGAAACAAAGAAAGTGACAAATCAGGATCTGTTGAATGATATTGGTGATCAAGAAAATGGAAATGTAATAACGTCGAATCTCCCAGCACAGCTTACTGACATTTTAAATGACTTCAAATCGCTTTTCGATGGAGAATTACTTCCAGTAGTCGCAAATGCACAACGCAAAGTGAAATTTCCGGATGGCCTTAATTTAGATGAATGGATTAATGGTCCAATAAGTGAAAGTTCTAGCGATGAAGAGGATGAAAGTAAAGGCGATGGATTATTTGTCTCAGCATCTGAAAAGACAAGCGAACGAGGCAGCCGTAAAGACAGTTTTGAACCAACTCCAGAGGAATTAGAAAAGGTGTGTTTAATCAACGCAAATTAACGATTTTAAGTTTTAAAAAAATCTTACAAAACCGTTATCTTTCAAAACCAAATCTAATTTTTAAACTATTTTAGATAAGAGAAGCTAGAAAGATGTTGCAAGCACACAATCCAAATTACTTGAAATCTTCGCCATCGGGTAGTCGTCAGGCAAATGACAATGGTGATTATGACAATATCGATGACATCCCAATTGCAGAATTGAACCTTGACGTTCCACTTAAAGTTCATTGTAAGTTCATTTAATCATAGAATTCTCTTAATTAGTTTTAATTGTAATAATTTATAGCCAAAACAAAGAGATCTGATAAATATCTAGAAGAGAGTCGCAAAGCTCAACGAAAGGAAAATAAGAAAGAAAATTCAAGTAAAAAATCAAAGAAAAAATCTTCAAAAAAGACTAAGAAGCCTGATGTTGTGTCTGATAGTGGATCTGAAGAGGAATCGAAACCAGTTCATTTAGTTAATAAGATTGTGGATATGCCAGAAGGTGCAACATTATCAGATTCAGAGGATAAGAATGTTTTAGACTTGAATGATCCACACAGAGCACTTGGAAATATAAATTTGGATGATGTTGAGGAGTTTTATGCACCACCACAAAGAACAAGTAAAATAAAGCACGTTGAAGAGTCTGAATCATCAAAATTAAAGGAGAAATCTCATCGTAAAAAGAAGGAATCAATTCCTGAGCAAAATTTAATGACAGAGGAAGTGAATGTGAAGAAAGATAAGAAAAAGCATAAGCGAAAAAAAGAGATTATTAGCGAAGATGTTAATCATGAGAAATTAACGGATATACTCGATGTAGAACAAAAGATTAAAAAATCTAAGAAAAAATCAAAGGAAAGCGATAAAATGGACGCAGAAAAATCCAAAAAGCATAAGAAATCATCGAAAAAAAGTGAATATGAGGAGACATTGTGAAACCTTTCAAAGACTTTGCATAAATCCTCCTTTTATTTTTTTACAACCTATGGATAATATCTTATTAAGCCTTCTAAGTAATAATTCTCTGGTTATGACTAATACATATTTAGAAGTGAATGAATGCTTCATGCGTGCTTAATTAAATGAATTTGTCTTTAACGAGATTTCGATTAACATATTGCCAAAATTCTCTAAGAAAACAATTTTCTAAATCTAATGATAAAATGGCAACAAAAAAAAATCAAGAGTATGAAATTTTATAAATTTATGACTGTTTAATTAATTAATTTGGCACTTTATGTTCTATTTCAATATTATTCACCATTATTTGTCTCATTTTTCTTTTCCGTTATCATTTAGTAATTATTGTGTAATAAAATATAAAACATTTAATTGACTATGAAAGAAAAAGATCAATTTAATAAAAATAATAAAATATATTATGATAAATCACAAGTCCTTAACCGAATTTGTATTTGCATGATTTTTAACGGAACTTTGAAATTCAAAAATTATGCTTGAAAAATTTGCGGTAGAATTTAATCAACTTTTGTATTAAAAATCAACAGTGAGCGACAGTAATTAAATTAAGCATTTTACAGCAAGAAAATCCAAGAATTATACATTAGGTAAACTAATGAATAGGACAAGGATAGTGGAAAATACTTTAATTAACAAATAAACTTTCAGTAAATATGCGTTTTACCAAAAAAGATATTGTAAAGTTGCTTGAATACGGACGAGCATTCTACAATCCATCATTAACTGCAAAATCCAGACTTAATTTCGTTAAGATCATCAAAACTGAAGCCTTTCCAAATGCAACAATCGAGGAATTGATTGAAAAATTTGACTTCCTTTATAAAAAGTATCAAGCATTCAAGTCTGGATCTGAAAAGAAGTTTGAGTACTATGCAATGGTAGATATGGCAGTCAATTTAGCAAATAAAAATCACATTCCAAAAGCTGCAGACATTGAAATACTTTCTGATGATGACGATGAATACATTCCAGAAGAAGTTACAGGAATAGAACAGCCAAAAATCAGCACAAATAAGCGATCTAATGATGAAGACATCCAGTAAGTTTTTAAACTATTTGTAATTGACAGCTATATTAATTCAGTTTCTTTCAGGACTGGCGCGAAAAAGATAAAACTGGATGTTAATTATGTGCCTTTCCAGGAAAATAACATTCCGATTGTTCCTATCCAAACCAACGAGATCCAGTGTGTGAAAATTGATGAAAGCGTTTTACAGGACATAGAATTGAATGTAACAAATGCAGTTCTTGAAAGTCTCAAGAAGGAAGACGAGGTTAAGGCACAGTCATTGAACGAATCCTTCCAATTAATGAAAAATGAATTACGGTCACTTATTCAAAATGGAACCACTGAAATCGTCCAGATAATGCACAAAAAGGAGAAGGAACATCGATTGAGTGATGTCTATGTCATGATAAAGACGTTACTTGATGAGCAAATGGAAGCAAATGAGACATTAAAAGAGATTAAGACAATTCTTAAGTCAACGATTGGAGCACAAAAAGTTCAACATGATGTGGATATAAAACAATATGATGCAGTGAAAAATAATGAAGTTTTATTAAAGAAAGTTTTGAGTATTATACAAGAGAATAATACATTAAAATAAAAAAAAAAAATCTATGCAACATCAATATCCCGGTCTTCATCAGTCACGTTTGGCATTACATTAAATTCATAAAATAGCGACGATTCATTTTCTATGGTTTTCCCTTTAATTTGTACTTTTAAAAGTCCATTTTCTCTAGTTTCTAAGCACACATCCATCGAGTGCATTAAAGCTCGCAGCATGCATTTAAAGCATGAAAACTTGTATGAAAATTTTGTGTCCTTAACTAAATTAAAGTTCTTGAATATTTTGTGATCAGTTGGAAATGGAATTTGTGTATTGCACTGAATGATTCCTAGTGATCTTACGATAAATGAACGACTGTCAATCTTAAACTGTATTTCATCTGTTGTTTTGTCAAGATCCGAAATGATTTCAATGAATTCAGAACAATTCATGAGGACTGTTGATGCTACTGGCGAGTTGATGGAAGAAAAGTCAATTGGGTTTATAGAATGCTTTGTACGAATGATGTATTCAGTGACTATTTCTTTACACGACTCAACTAGCTCTTCCTCGTTATCCGATATCTCACTTAATGTTGCATTTGGATCTATTTCGTCGTCCTTCTGTTTTAAAATAAAGGCAATCGGTCTGTGATCTCCGTAATAAACAATCTTTAAGCTTGTCAATTCGTTGTTAATAATTGCGCTTAAGAACTCTGAAAAGGCTGTAAAATCCACTCCAAAGTTGACCATCTCAAGGTTTTTGCCAAAGTGATAGCGACTAAAGAAAACACTTCCGAAATATGCGATGCCTGCAAAACAGCATCCAGTAAATTTATTAGTCAAATTAAACCTCATTAATAATGTCTTAATTACCTTGAAAGAACTGACTTTCTTCAGCTATGAATTTCATTCCAATGCTCGTAAAGTGAACTTCAGAATTTGTTGTGAATTGCAGGCTTTTTAGTGTATTTAAGAAAAACTTTACATTCTGTCCTTTAATTGTACCTGCAACCGCGATATTTTGAACACTTAACTCTTTAAAATCAATTTTGTCTTGTGATTTTGTGCCTTTGCCTTTCTCGTCCATGGCTTTTAATTAATTTTATTCAGCTTCTTAATTGTTTTGTTTTTTATTTCAAAATCTAGATTTAACGGTTGAAAAAAAATTCAAAAAGTGTATCCCTTAAAAATCACCAAGACTTGACGTGGATTAAAAAATTCGGCATTTTTCAAAATTACGCCGGTTCTATAAACATTAATTTTAATATAATTATGAGCTCTTAAGAGCTTTAAATTTAGTTTAAAAAGGAAGAAGAGACATCGTTTGTGTGAAAGAAGTTGAAAATATCTTGTAGGATTATCAATAAAGTAGTAAAATTAAAGAAATAAAGTTGAAAGAAAATTACAAAATAAACAACTTAAAGTACACATCACCAAAAATACAGAAATATCAAGATGAGCACGGTCCAGCAAAAAGCACCGTCTTCATCCTATAAAATCAATTGGGAGAAGCAGGAAAGTCTTGCAAAATTAGGAATTTTAGTGCTTGCTGCTATTTTATGTGAGTTTATAGCTTTAATGGATGTCTTCATTGATTTTCATGCATTTTTCATTATCTCCTTTACAGCATTTTCTACACGTTTATTTTCTGTCTTGCGGTTTGAGAGTGTTATCCATGAATTCGATCCTTATTTTAACTATAGAACTACCAAGTTCCTCACGGATAAGGGATTCTACAATTTCCACAATTGGTAAGCTAGTATTGACATTTATAAGATCTAGAGGTATCCGACATTCAAAAGTATTGAGAATAAATCCTACCTGGATTAAAAACAAATCTTGCGATTAGTCCTAAGATTAAATTTAAACCATTAATTAACAGAGGACATTCATTGCAGGTTCGATGAGATGGCATGGTACCCATTAGGAAGAATCATTGGAGGAACAATTTATCCAGGCTTGATGGTGACATCTGCAACACTTTATCGCGTATTATGGTTCATGAATATAACCATCGATATTAGGAATATTTGCGTATTTTTAGCTCCTTTGTTCTCAAGTTTTACAGTCATTGTGACTTACTTGCTAACATCAGAAATCTATTCAACTGGTGCTGGACTTGTTTCAGCTGCTATGATTGCAATTGTTCCAGGATACATTTCTCGTTCAGTGGCTGGATCATACGATAACGAAGGAATTGCAATTTTTGCTATGTTACTGACATACTACATGTGGATTAAAGCAGTTAAAACTGGAGCTATTTTATGGTCAACTCTCGCCAGTCTTGCATACTTTTATATGGTATCAAGTTGGGGTGGATATGTTTTCCTCATCAATCTTATTCCATTACATGTCTTGGCATTAATGTTTACTGGAAGATTTTCACATCGTCTTTACGTCGCATACAGCACAGTTTATTGTGTCGGAACAATTTTGAGCATGCAGATTTCATTTGTTGGATTTCAACCAGTCCAGTCATCAGAACATATGCTTGCTTTTGGAGTCTTTGGATTGTGTCAACTCTTTTCATTTGTGGAATATTTAAAATCAAAATTGACAAAGGAACAGTTTGAAGTTCTTCTTAAATCAATAACCATTGCAATTGTATCAATTTTCCTTGGTTTTGCTGCTGTATTGACATTATCTGGAAAAGTGTCGCCATGGACTGGACGTTTCTATTCCTTACTTGATCCATCATATGCTAAAAATCATATTCCAATTATTGCATCCGTTTCTGAGCATCAACCGACATCATGGAGTTCATTCTACTTTGATTTGCAAATTTTAGTATTTCTATTTCCGGCTGGCTTGTATTTCTGCTTTGATAAACTTACTGATGCCAACATTTTCATTATTCTGTATGGAATTACGTCAATTTACTTTGCTGGCGTTATGGTTCGTTTAATGCTTGTATTAGCACCAGTCATGTGCATATTATCAGGCATTGCTGTATCTCACTTGTTGACAAAATACATTCGCAATGTCGACACATCAGCTACATCATTTACAAGCACTGAAGGCAAGGCTGCACGTCCTGATGTATCAAAGAAATACAAGAAATATGATCAGCAAAATAAAGGAGTCAAAAGTGAAATTGCTATTGGATTTGTTGTCATGATTACCTTCATGCTTATCACTTATACGTTCCATTGTACTTGGGTCACATCTGAGGCTTATTCCTCACCATCTATCGTTTTATCCGCACGATCGCATGATGGCAGTCGAATTATTTTTGATGATTTCCGTGAAGCTTACTATTGGCTGCAAATGAACACTCCTGAGGTGAGTTTTAAAGATTTCAAGATAAACAGATGTAATTCTGCTCCCTACAAATTATTTAAATGATGATAGAATTGATAATTGATTGATCCTTATAAAGAAGATTCTTAATGTGTCTAGGATTAATGTTAATTATATGATAAAGTTGAGTTCCGAATTTCTGTAGAATTCCTTTGTCTTTAGTTCGCATTAATTTGTTTGGCATTAGAAGACTTCAGGATCGTGATTAAAAAAATTTGCACTTTGATCGCTGATTATAAAACACGATAGCAATTAGCTGATCAAATATTAAATTCATGCTGAATTAATGTATTTTTTCTGCATTCAACTTTTCTAGGACGCTCGAATTATGAGTTGGTGGGATTATGGATATCAAATAACAGCGATGGCGAATCGAACGGTTCTAGTGGATAATAATACTTGGAACAATACACATATTTCGAGAGTTGGTCAAGCTATGGCATCGAGTGAGGAAAAAGCATATGAAATCATGAGGGAATTGGATGTAGACTATGTTCTGGTCATTTTTGGTGGTTTAACTGGATATTCAAGTGACGACATTAATAAATTCTTGTGGATGGTAAGAATTGGTGGTTCAACAGATCGTGGACAGCATATTAAGGAACAAGATTATTATTCATCAAATGGTGACTTCAGAATTGACAAAGAAGGTTCCCAAACACTTTTGAACTGTCTAATGTACAAACTTTGTTACTATCGATTCGGTCATGTATACACAGAAGCTGGAAAACCAACAGGCTACGATCGTGTCCGTGGAGCTGAAATTGGTAATAAAGATTTTGAATTGGAGACTTTACAGGAAGTTTATACAACTGAGCACTGGCTTGTGAGAATATATAAAGTTAAAGACTTAGAGAATCGTGGTGTGTAAAGCAATAGACACATCCTGTAAGAGTGAAATCATAATTTTTAGTATTTGAGTCATTCCTATTAAAAACCTAAATGAATATTAAGAAAAATAAATGCAACCAAACCAGCCCAATTTTCACCTGCCTAACTACTACAAAGCTCAAAGAATATTCTCAAGGAAATGTAAGGAAGAGAAACTTTTGCAGTTATGTCAGTCATGAACACTAATCATAAATCTACACGTAATACTTAACGCAATTTTTTAACATGATCTTTAATTAATACCAGTTCTTATCTATTGTACTCTTTTTGATTTGTATTCACTTCTTTATTATTTTTATTTTTTTCTATAATTTTTTTGTAACAAAAAAAAAATAAAAGATTTATGACAAAAAGTTAAAAGTTTCTTTTGAATAATTTGGTTTGCATTGGAACCAGTCACAAATCAGTGGAAAGTCATCAACAAAGTTAATAAAACAACACTAAAATTAAAGATAAAGTATAGAGATTATTGTCTGAATATTATGATCTTGATGCTTCTCAAGGTTGCTCTCTATTATACGCTTGCATGATCGTATTTAAAATTCGCACTTAACTACTCCTCAGCTAGCAGGTAATTAAATAGCATTTGCTTCTTAAACTTAAGTTATAAAAAAATGTGTTAAAGTATTAACCAAAATGTTTACAGAAATATTATGTCATGATTATAAATCATACAATTTCGTGAGCTGCAAGTCAAGACGTAAAATAAGCAAAAAAATTCCTGCAGCTTTATTTTTAGAATGATAAGATAACTAGAAATCACACCTGCAGAGTTTTAGAGCGCTAATATGCATATAGGTCAAAATATAAACAGCCAATTCATCGGATTCATTTGTTGTTGAAAATATACAATTCATTTCATCATTCAACATCTTTCATGCAAATATATTGCATGCTTCAAATTATCAAGAATGAGTAAGTAGCTTTTGAATTTCATGTGTACCGCCAAAAAGCAATTATTGAGACAAAACTTCATTTAATAAGCCTTTGTTCTTCAAAAGTACATTCACATCAATTATTGCTGGTTCATTCATCGTGGATAATTATTATTTTAATTCATTTCATAATACTCAATTAAAAGTTTAATTAAGTTTAAAAAATTCAACGAACCTCTTTGAAAATTTTAACTTCAAAACCCTATAACAGCCAAGAAAAAAATATAAAAATTCAAATTTTTAACGGTTTTGTTCAAAATTAAGCATCGTATCTCAAGAATCTCTATCGCAGATTCTAGAATGGTAATAAACAACTGTTGGAATTTCAATTAAATATTGCAATCTCATGATGACTTAATAATAAGTTTGTCAAAAGAAACTAAGACGACAATCAATAAAAGATTATAGTATTCATGAACAACAGTTTGTGTGAATTAAAGTTCATTGCGCTTCACATAAACAAGTTGTAAGTTCTAGTGACATAGAATAACATTCTCTCATTCTCAAATTATTTGGAAACAGCTGATTCTGCTATCTCAATTACAAGACAACACGCGAAAGCGTGCATAATACATACAATCATCTCCATTTGAATCATGCTTTACTGTAGAGAATATTTATGCCGGTATCAGTCTTACTCTCTCACATCTCATCGATTCACATTGAGCGCGCATTCACGATTTGTGCGTATTCGTGTGCTGAACATTGACGGTCATTTGTGTTTTGATCGCTCTCCGAATCAGACCTACGCGTGCGAAAAAAAAACATCGAGTGATAACTTTATTTGGTGAAATTTTGTTTTTATCTTCATTTTCACATTTGAAAAAATTCAAAAAAGTTTCACTTAATTAATTACATAATTAATAGTGTCTTAAAAAAGGTATAGTGCAAATTGAGAATCTTCCTCATTAAGATTAAAGAGATTCCTTTAGACATTGATCTTTGAACATCATCGTACAATTTCATGACAAGTCCAATTACTGAACTTATCACGTTATTTATTTAAATTTTACAAGTTAAGCTTTTTCTCATGACTAACTTTGAATCCATAAAATGAATGTTAATCGGAAGCGTGTGACTTAAATGAAGCAGGATAAGATAAATTTTTGAAACTTTGGACATTGGACTTTATTTTTGCGGAGAGAAACAGAAGTAAGACACACACAAAGAATAAGAAGAGGTGTGTCATTTGAATGATTACATTCGAAATATATGTTTTTGTAGATAACAGCTTTATATGCTGAACACATTTAAAAAGAAAACCAAAACAGACGAATTTCCCCCAAATGTCGTTGACGTACGCACATGTGATAAGATAAATATTTGAACTTTTGAGGATTAAAATTCAATTTTCATTATAAATATAGGTGAACTATGGCCGAAGCTCATCAGGCAACAACCTACAGTGATGTCCTTATTCATGAGCATACAGATGCTAATCATGATCAAGAAGTCTTACAATTGGTGTTTAAATCTGGTTTGAGATCCTGGAAAAAGAGACTTGCAAGATTTCGAAGTAAAGTTAAGAACGGAGTCTATCCAGCACATTTGGAGAGTCTATGGATCATTGTAGCTTTAGCAATGGGATTTCATTTCTACACACAAAATACTCCTTTTGATGTCGTTAAAGTCGTTATTAAATTTATGCCAGAGTATGTAAACATGCCGACGATTCAAAACAAAACAAAACATAAAACCTGTTTCTTGGCTGCTTACGTAAATCTGCACGCGTACAGCCTCTCTTTGTATCACATTTAATTGTCAAAAAAAAAGTTTCTGTTGGTTTTGTTTTGATTCAATTTTGATTTCTTATCTTTATCTTTAACTTCAGTTTGATTTTTGTTCGTGCTTGAATTTGATTCCTTCCAAAATAATTTGAAAGGCTAGAGTTTTATAGCCATGAACTTTGACATGACATTAATTCCAACATCTTAACAAAAAGGATTAATTCTATAATTTTTACTTACAGTCAAAGTCTAGGATGGGAGATTGTTGCATGCACTATCGCTGGACTCTTTTATTGGCTTCTTGTAGCTTTTATTATGAGGTTCACACTTAAGATGTTGCTGACATACCGAGGATTCTTGTTTGAAGCTCGTGGCAAAAAAGTCTCGATTAAAACAAAAATCTGGGCAATTTTACTTAAAAGTAAGGCTTGATTTAAATTATTAAATTGAACCAACCTTGATTTCATATTTAATTTTAGTATTTATCAAATGGAACTCTCCTAATCTATTCAGTTTTCAAGAAACACTGCCAAGGTTGCCTGTCCCACCTGTAAAGGATACAATGAAACGCTATTTACGTTCTGTACGTCCGTTACTCGATGACAAAAATTATGATAGAGTTGCAAGGGAGGCTGAAGAGTTTGAAAAGGGTATTGGCAAGAAGCTACAACGTTATTTGGTCCTTAAAAGTTGGTGGGCAACAAACTATGTTTCAGATTGGTGGGAAGAATACGTTTATCATAAAAGTAGACATCCACTGTTAGTCAACAGTAATATTTATGGAACTGACTGTGTCAATCATCCAACCAAGAACCAAGCTGCAAGAGTTGCTAATTTGATTTACTTGTGCCTGCAATTCCGTCGAAAAATTATTCGACAAGAACTTCAGCCAATTATGGTCCAAGGAATGGTTCCATTATGTTCATATCAGTATGAAAGATTGTTCAATACTACCCGTATTCCAGGCATTGATGGTGATAAACTCATACACAATGATGATGCTCATTATATGACTATAAGACACAAAGGAGTTTTCTATAAACTTCCAGTTCAGCATAATGGTCGCATGCTTAATGCTAAAGAAATTGAATATCAATTGAATTACATCCTTAAGTCCAACAATAAAGCTTCACATCCTGAAGAGTTCTTAGGATCCTTAACTGCATGGGACAGAACGAAATGGGCTGAAACCAGAAACAAATATTTCGCAAAAGGAATCAACAAATCATCACTTGACTGCATCGAAAGCTCCATTTTCTTCATTAATCTTCATGACAAACCGTTTGATATGGACTTTGATGACAATGAAAAAATGAAGGTTTTCTCAAAGGAATGTCTTCATGGACAAATTTATGATTTCTGGTTCGACAAAAGCTTTTGTATGGCAGTCGGATAGCAAGCTTGGGGTTTACTTGGATAGCAAGCTCAATTGGAACAAGCATATGGACATGATTTTGGAAAAGGCAACACGATCCTTTTGGGCGTGTAGGTCAATTGTAGGTAAGAATTGGGGACTTAAACCTCACATGATGCATTGGTTATACGAGCAGGTGATTCTTCCACGCATCACGTATGGGTGTGTTGTTTGGTGGAACAAACTACAGCAAGGTAATGCTTGTCTCAAACTTGACAAGCTTCAAAGAATGGCTGAACTTGCCATATGCGGGGCATGGAGAACAACTCCTAAGTTGGCTCTGGACAGAGTACTTGAGCTTCCCCCTCTTCGGATTAGAATTGAAGCAGTAGCTAGATCAGCGGCTTATAGACTTGCTGTTAACAAGTTATGGATCTATGATTGGATTTTTTCAGGACACTTGGAACTTAACAGATTCTTAAGAGGAAATGCACTGTCTATCGCGGAAGCAGATCATCCAATTTGTAGGCACGTTTTTGACAAACCATTTAAAGTTGTCACCTCAGAAGATGAAGTCCTAATGGTTGAGGCAGATGTTATTTGTGTATACACCGATGCATCTAAATCAGAAGATGGAGTCGGGATTGGTGTTTTCAGTAAAGATTTGGAAATTTCATTATCTTTTAGTTTGCAGGAACATGCAAGTGTTTTCCAAGCTGAAGTGCAGGCTATATGTGTAGGTGCAAAGCATATTAGCGATATGAAAGTAAAGGACTGCAAGATTTGCTTCTTTTCTGATAGCAAATCTGCGTTAGCAGCACTTGGCAACTGTAACATAAAGTCTAAAACTGTTTATGATTGTATTTCTAGTCTTTCATCTCTAGGACTGGACAATGAAGTTACACTTCATTGGGTACAAGGACATAATGGAAACGTAGGAAATGAAACAGCGGATCAACTTGCTAAAGAGGCGTGTTCAAGAACGGATTACGACGAGACTGTTTATTACGGTTTGGACATCGTAAAACGGGAGATTCGTGAGTGGCTTATCAGGCAACACTTTCGCATTTGGTGTTCAGAAAAAGGATCCCTAACAGCTAAAAAACTGCTAGGCCCTACCAACAAGAACAGCCTAAACGATGCATTGAAACTGACAAGAAGGGATCTTAGCATCTTAATTGGTGCTTTGACTGGACACATGAGTATCAATAGTTTTCTTGTTAAGCTCAATTTAAGTAACTCTAAATTTTGTAGGTTTTGTAGTACAGCTGAGGAGACCATGGCACACATTCTATGTGACTGTAAGTCACTATGTGCTTTTCGCCATAAACATTTCAAGGAGGATGTTGTCAATATAGGTGGCATAAGGAAGCAGCGCTATTTGGACTTAGTGGGATTTATTAAGGACATTGGAATTCTATAGCTGAACCTAAAGGGATGGTACAACAGATCTATGATCGCAGTGCCTTTTCGTGTATAACGAACCCTACATCTAATTCTATCTATCTATCTATGGCAGTCGGAACTAATGCTAGGGTGAGTTAAGTGAACTATTTGATACTACACTTGAGTGCTTGTCTAGCTTCTTGACCTTATTGATTGTTAGCTTAGTACTTAACTTTTCGTACCATTTTGATCTGCAAAGTTATCTTGTCTATTTATTCAAATTAATCTCTTTAGTATGCAATGAATGCAGAGCATTCCTGGGCTGATGCTCCTATTCTTGGACACTTGTATGAAGAAGTTCAGTTTGATGACCAATTTAGGTAAGTGACACGAAATTTCTTCATTTATGTTGCTTTTAACTCTTTTATTTTACAACACTAGCTACGATGAAGAAGGAAACCTTTTGGGATCAATGGAATGCAAGCCACCACTTCCAACTCGATTGAAATGGGACTTTAGTGAAGAACAATTGATCAAAAATATTGATCAAGCTTACAATGATGCGTTGAAAATCACAACTGTAAGTATTAAATCTTCTTTTTTCATTCGATTTCAAAACTTTATAAATTTTTCCAGGATGTTGATCACATGGTCCTCAAATTCGCTGAATTTGGTAAAGGATTTATAAAAACCTGCAAAGTCTCACCTGATGGATTTATTCAAATGGCTCTTCAACTTGCTTACTTCCGTGACTTCGGAAAATTCTCTTTAACATATGAAGCATCAATGACACGACTTTATCGTGAAGGCAGAACAGAAACTGTAAGATCATGTTCGATTGAATCATGTGCTTGGGTGCGTGCGATGGAAGATGACAACATTCCAGCTAAAGAAAAAGTTCGCCTTTTAAGAGTGGCATGTGAAAGACATCAGCAATCGTACTTAGAAGCAATGACAGGAAAAGGAGTTGATCGTCACATTTTCTGCCTGTATGTAATCTCCAAATATCTTGAAATTGAATCGCCATTCTTGAAAGAAGTACTTAGTGAACCATGGAGATTATCAACTAGTCAAACTCCACATGGTCAAAGTCCTAGAACTGATCTTGTAAAATATCCTGGTTTGGTTGGAAGTGGAGGAGGATTTGGTCCAGTTTCTTATGGTTAGTATCTCTTTGTTGTTGAAGCTAGGATAAATATCCTCAAATAAGCATTTGATGATAAGAACTAGCCTATGATGCACCTGATTGATAGCTCAGTTTTCAAACTTAATCAATAAAACTCTTATTCCTTACAGATGGCTACAGTGTATCATACATCGTGTCAGGTGAAGATAAAATCTTCTTCCATCTTTCAAGCACAATAAGCTGTCCTCAAACAAATACTGAAAGATTTTCTCAACGCTTAACAAAAGCTCTCGTTGACATAAAAGCTCTTTTTGAAAAGCTCAACGCAGAACAAAAACTTCAAAAAAATGGTGTCAGTTAAAATTATGAAGCAATACTTAATATGTGTATATGACAAAACTTTATGATTCCTTAGACAAATGAATGAAATTCATCAAATTCTTATAAAGAATATTTTATTGTAAATTGGGATATTATTGAACCTAATAAAATTGATTCCATAATACTTGATAGTAAAAGATAATCCTCAATCTTTCGATTTAACGACATGCTCAATTACATTTAACATTTCCATAATTCCCATGGTAATATCCAAAAATATAAAAATCATCCCACATCATTCGATTACGATGTTACCAAGTCAAGTTATATCATCTGGCAGCATAAAAAGGAATTTATTTCTCTGAAGGGTAACACGTGTAAGTGCAACAGATAAAAATCTAGGAAAAGGAAGCCCTTAAAAAATTCTCTCGAAATTCCCAAGTGAGCGATGAATTTCTCACCATTGTCACTAATGATATACATCCAACAAGTGATGCTGAGTTGTACATTTTCTTTCCATGTTATGTGACTGACTTTTTTTTTGCATACACCTAGTTCCATTTCATTCATGGTTTCAAGTCATTCATTCATTCATCATAAAATGAAATAATTAGAAACTATAAAGTTGGAAAAAAATTGTTTTAAATAAAATATCATATTTAATGCATGGCTATATGATCTTTCTAAACGACTAAGAAGATGACGACGACAATTTTTTTTCTGTTTTTGCACAAAAGAAAAATAAAACTGTTGACAATTGCTGTAGAAAGTTTCACTTGTTCCGTTTTATGAAAGAGGAAGAAAATGATGGCATAGAAGTAGATTTTTGGTCGATTGAAGCGCATTTTAGCTATGTAGAATAGAATGCCGCTCTATGAAGTGATAAACAATACTCTTGAGTCAAATTTGGTTGGAAGTCGCAAATGTCGCGGGTTTGAATCCGGAAATTTTTAAAATCTTTGGGTTTTTGGAAGGTTGAAATGATTCATTTCATACTGATCGATATCAAGACGAAACTGGATCTCTAGACACTCTCCCGAATGGCACAAGTCAGTTAATCAATCAGAAATCTGGTACCTAACCGGTGTGCTTCTGTCAGAGTGCTGGATTTAATTCAAAGTGCTATTCGGGTCTAGTTTGTACCAAGATATATAGATGTGCTCATACAAAAATATCGCAGTTTTTAAACGTCAAAAATTTGAATTTTCTAAAAACACTAACACTATAAAAGAAAATTTTCAATTTTTGTTTTGCAAAATTTTCAACTTTCTGTTAAGTTTTGTTGATACAGGAGTATTGCAAATGCTTTGCTATAATTTAAAGTAACTGACTTAAGTCAAATGTTGTTGCATCTGTCGATATTTAAATGAAAACTTGAAAATAGAAAATTTTAAAAATTTTTGTTTGTATAAGTACACAAAAAATAGTATGGTCGAGTATGGTCAAGTATACTCTGTATGAGCCCATCTATATATCTTGGTTTGTACCTTCAACTCAAGGAACTGGCATAATGCATTCAAAACTGGATGTTTAGACCCCCCCATTCCCTATAGATCAGTGTTGTCCAAACTGTGTGCCGTAGATTTTTTTAAAATACCATCGCACGCCCTGTTTTGGACATGTCTTGCTGTCAAAGTGTGCCGTAGCTCAAAAAGTTTATACAACACTGCAACAACAATTGATTGTCACTGAAAATCATCACTCTGAATAACACTCCAGATAGATAGACATCCAAAGTGTTGACATCAACTTATACACCTCCAAAAATGTGCAAATAATAGTAAAAAGATAGGCAATACCGCATGGTTTTAAAAATTGTAATGAATCTGATATGACGGCGTTAGATGCATTTTGAGCAGTTAGAAAACTGCATTGAAATTCTTAAAAATCAATCCCATGACTCTAAAGTTACTTTCAACCATATTGAAATAAACCGCAACATCGACAGAAACTTTAAGCTTGTTTTATTTTTTTGAAATTGAAATCTTCATTCATGATACATTTTATGTGGCTTCGGGGTTTGACATTAATTTAGATAAGGTTTATACTTATTGTGATTGCTCTATTCCTTTTACTGTTGCTCATGTTGTGTTGAATGAATGATTTACGTAATCAATTTTAAGATGTTTATTTTGAGAAGATTGAGTCAGGTTTGATTTAAAATTTGAAGGATAAAGGCACGGTTCAGCAGTAAAAACAGAGCTGTCCTTCTGGTTTTTCCAGCAAAATTCAGTTTCATCCAAAAATCAGAAGTTGAAAAATTCAGAATTAATCAAACAAAAAAGTTAAGCTTCTAGTTATTGTCCCTCATTCTAGGAAGCATAAAGGCTAGTTCTTCCTCTCGGAAATATAAAAAAATTATACCAAAAATATCAGATTTTATTGTGATGTAAAATTTTATGAAAATTTTTGAATCGATATTTTAATGTCTTACAACAACTCAGCGGGATGAAAACTTTTTGCGATATTATTTTTCTGCCTTTGTAAATATTACATAAGAGGCTGTAAACTTTAAAAACGCCCCACATGTCATGGCGAGAAAGGAAGTCATGAGCATCAAGTGATTTTACAAATTTTATGTTAGAAGTCTTCCTGGAAGTTATTGTTAAATTACAATTGAATCTTTTGGTAAAAAAAAAACATCTAAATCCAGAGTTGCAATCTGTCATGGGCAATCACTTGTCACTTACCTGTTAACAGACAGTATCTGTTACAGATCTGTCACCTGTGCCAGTGACAGGCGACCTGTCATCAAATAAGTCAGAATCAAACTCTATCATCATTCAACTCTAGCGTATTTTAAATTAACTTTGTTATATTCACACCGTTTTCACGTGTGAATCTATTGGTTTTGTTCAGATTGAAAAATCAAGATAGCTTAAAATGTTCAGAGATGAAAAGTTTGTGACTTGAATTTCACATCTTTTGCAAAAAACAGATTTCAAATTGGTTGCGGCATTGCTGAGAAAATAGCAAAATATGCTTTCTGTAAGCAAGCAAACAAGCAAACAAGCAAACAAGCAAGTTAATCAGCAAGAAATCTCAATAACGAGACATCGTAGAGACTTCTAGTTTTTTACATTTGATCCGTGCTGCTCTATAGAAGAGCTGTATTGTTTTTGGGCAAGGTAGGAACAGCCGTTGCTTCAGAAAAAGCAAAAAACTTTCCTTTCTTACGAATTTTTCAAATTAAAAGTTCACTGTGATTTTTTTTATTTTAAATTAAACTTTGGATGAATATTCTAGTGCTTAAAACAAATACAAATAAAACATCCTAAAATTTTTTTGAGCAAAGAACCAAGTAGGAAATACATTTTCAATTTTGGACTAGGGGCGACCCTAGTCAAAATCAATTTTCTCGCTTTTTTCTTCGTGGGTTTATGGGATAAATATTCTAATGCTTAAAACAAATACAAATAAAACATCCTAAAATTTTTTGAGCAAAGAACCAAGAAGGAAATACATTTTCAATTTTGGACTAGGGGCGACCCTAGTCAAAATCAATTTTGTCACTTTTTTCTTCGAGGGTTTATCCAAATAGATTGAAACTTTGCATAAATATTCTAGTGTTTAAAACAAATACAAATAAAACATCCTAAAATTTTTTTGAGCAAAGAACCAAGTAGGAAATACATTTTCAATTTTGGACTAGGGGCGACCCTAGTCAAAATCAATTTTCTCGCTTTTTTCTTCGTGGGTTTATGGGATAAATATTCTAATGCTTAAAACAAATACAAATAAAACATCCTAAAATTTTTTTGAGCAAAGAACCAAGTAGGAAATACATTTTCAATTTTGGACTAGGGGCGACCCTAGTCAAAATCAATTTTCTCACTTTTTTCTTCGAGGTATTTTCCAAATGGATTGAAAATTTGCATTAATATTTTAATGCTTAAAACAAATACAAATAAAACATCCTAAAATTTTTTGAGCAAAGAACCAAGAAGGAAATACATTTTCAATTTTGGACTAGGGGCGACCCTAGTCAAAATCAATTTTGTCACTTTTTTCTTCGAGGGTTTATCCAAATAGATTGAAACTTTGCATAAATATTCTAGTGTTTAAAACAAATACAAATAAAACATCCTAAAATTTTTTTGAGCAAAGAACCAAGTACGAAATACATTTTCAATTTTGTACTAGGGGCGACCCTAGTCAAAATCAATTTTCTCACTTTTTTCTTCGTGGGTTTATGGGATAAATATTCTAATGCTTAAAACAAATACAAATAAAACATCCTAAAATTTTTTTGAGCAAAGAACCAAGTAGGAAATACATTTTCAATTTTGGACTAGGGGCGACCCTAGTCAAAATCAATTTTCTCACTTTTTTCTTCGAGGTATTTTCCAAATGGATTGAAAATTTGCATTAATATTCTAATGCTTAAAACAAATACAAATAAAACATCCTAAAATTTTTTTGAGCAAAGAACCAAGTAGGAAATACATTTTCAATTTTGGACTAGGGGCGACCCTAGTCAAAATCAATTTTGTCACTTTTTTCTTCGAGGTATTTTCCAAATGGATTGAAAATTTGCATAAATATTTTAATGCTTAAAACAAATACAAATAAAACATCCTAAAATTATTTTGAGCAAAGAACCAAGTAGGAAATACATTTTCAATTTTGGACTAGGGGCGACCCTAGTCAAAATCAATTTTGTCACTTTTTTCTTCGAGGTATTTTCCAAATGGATTGAAAATTTGCAATAATATTTTAATGCTTAAAACAAATACAAATAAAACATCCTAAAATTATTTTGAGCAAAGAACCAAGTAGGAAATACATTTTCAATTTTGGACTAGGGGCGACCCTAGTCAAAATCAATTTTGTCACTTTTTTCTTCGAGGTATTTTCCAAATGGATTGAAAATTTGCATAAATATTCTAATGCTTAAAACAAATACAAATAAAACATCCTAAAATTATTTTGAGCAAAGAACCAAGTAGGAAATACATTTTCAATTTTGGACTAGGGGCGACCCTAGTCAAAATCAATTTTCTCACTTTTTTCTTCGAGGTATTTTCCAAATGGATTGAA